TCATGCTTTCCGCTAGCGAGGGCGGCCGGTTGCTGACGTTTCTAGAGAATTGGCGTTTTGTAAATTGGGGTCCCAAGTGACGGCCGCAACCTTCGGCGACGTGTGTCAGCCCGCTGCTGTCAGTAGGGTTACGGAGGTGTGAACCCGGCCTCACGCAGCGAGGGCTCAGGGTCAGCGTGCGAGCAAACCTGCATGTGTGTGTGTTACAGCCTGGGGATAAATGCTAGAAAATAACGTCATCCACCTTCGCTGCCATTTAGAGGCCGAAGAGCTAGGAGCAGGCATCCCAAACGCATTGTGAAAGCCTAACCCAAGCGACTTGCCGCACGTAATCCCTTTCACGACTCTAGTCCATGGTCACTAAAACCTACTGACTCCTGAGACAATCTGGAATGCTTTTTTCCCCCGTTTATTGCATAGAATCCCTGATCTCCATCTTCTGTCCTTGTGTTTTTTAGCTTTGTCCCTGATTTCTGTTTCAGAAAGCTGAGAGGTATGATCCTGCTGCTCTCTGGCTCCCCACTCCTCCTTGTTTGAACTTTTCCAAGCCCTTTTCACTTTGAACTTGGCTCCCAGTCCTCTCTGCCTCACTGCTACATCCCAACCCCTCTCACTTCCCAGTTCCTAACACTACTTCACCTCCTCCCCTCTCCCTAGACCTTTGTTATCCCTCATACTTGCTCTTGTAACTGGACCTTTCACCAGGATCTAACTGGTACTAACACAGGGCACGGAGAGATTCCAGAGCAAAGGGTCGATAGGGAAGAGCTGCCTTTCGCATCAGCGCTGTCGAGGGAAATGTGACAGTCCCTGTGGGAGCAGCTGCCTCCCCCAGCTTTGGAAGCACCTGTCTGGGATGGCAGGGCAGGCTGGGCTCAGGGCAGCAGCTTGCTCTGCGCTGCGGGATGCCGCCTGAATCGCGGTGCTTGGAAGTCCTTTTTTCCCCTAAGGTGGCTGGCTTCGGAGCTCTTCCAAAAACGCTCTACTGCAGGGTTTGTCTTCTGTGATAAAAACAGAACGAGGGGAAATAGCAAGTCCAAAGCTCTGGGGCTGGCCTTTCCCGGGATGCTTGAGCTGCTGCATCTGGGATCAAGCGCTGGGCTGGGCATTTGGTCCTGAGTCCATCTTTGCATTCCTCGGTTATTGGATGCTGTTCTGCTTGTTGGGCTTTGCTTGACTCGCAGGACTAAAACGGAGGGGGCGGGGGTGGAAATCTGGTTGTCTTGACTGGGTTGTGCTCGTGATGTCTGCCTTTGGAGGAGCTTCCCAGAAAGCAGAGCCGGGCGAACGACGGGAAGGAAGGAGGATGCGTGCTGTGTGGTGTTACGGCGTCACTTCTGAGCTTTGGGAAGGAAAAGATGCGGATTTTGCCTTTTTGGTTCCACCTGGCTGATGATAGCGGGCTTGTTGTTGAAAAGTTTGGGTGTGATTAATTTCAAAGAAGGTGTTCCTGTCTCTCCTCTCTCTTCCAGGGCGCTCCTGGGCTGGCCAGCGCAGGGACGAAGGTCAGTGCGGCGGGACGCGGCGATGCTTGAGCTGGGCTGGGGCTGGGGTTGGGGCGCGCGACACGGGAAAACGGTCGGACAGCTCCCACTAATGGGGAATGTCAGAACTGCTCTTGCTTTCGGGCAGGAAAACCGGTCTCCAGCAGCACTCCTGCCTCTCCGCACCCCTCCGGGAAGAGGGGTCGGTGAACTCGTGGTACCCCGCGGCAGTGATGGATGTGCGGGTTTAGGGGTCTGGGAGTCAGGGATCCAACCTGTTGTCCCGATTCCCTCTAGTTGCTGGGGAAAAAGACAGAAATAAGGAAGTTATCCCCAGGGCAGGTGGGGAGGGTTTTCCTCCTTGATGCCACAGTGATCCTGTATCAACACAACCTCCCCCGCGACCCCAGCTGCAACCCACAGCCTTGCTTTGCTCCTGTGTGCACAGAGCCGGGAGCAGCCAGGTTCCTTGATGCCGGCAGATGACTCTTGCCACCTTGTGCTCTCCTGTATCTCCTAAACCTTCTCTTGAAATATTGCAAGGTATTCATAATTAGTTTCATAAAAGCCTCTTATCTGAGTCTTGCTGGTTTCTTCCCGCAGCCTTGGAGCTGGCTAATGAAGATAAAACGAGCTCCAGGCACAAGTCATAATATGCATTTAAAGCATCTTCACACCCTTATTTCAAGCCCACGGCCTCCACCAATTAATGGTTTTTTTCCTCCATTCCTTATAGCTCTAGGAGGTTTCATACTCTCTCCTCCTGGTTTTTCACTTTATTTTCCTGCCTCTTCTTCCCCAGGGTGAGCCCGGGACTCCAGGAGAAAAGGTACTCTCTGAAGACTTTCCTCTGAGTCTGCACTTCTGGTTGGTTTGTGTATCCCACCCCACCTCCCCACGCAGCTGAGGGACCTGAGGAATGGCTCTGTACTTCCCAGTGCCCACATCCAGGCCCTAATGGCACCTACCAGTGTAAGCAAACTGGTAGTAATGATGCCACGTGAGAGAGGGACCGTACAGCAAACAGATTCCCTCCCTCTTGCTCATGACTGTGTTGATGGGAATACGCTCCAGCCACCTTCCTCCTTTCCTCCCTGCTCCACAGAGTACGCACAGCACACCTCGCTTAGCCAGGACATTTCCTCTCCCCCTTCCCTTGTCCTCTTGTGCCTCCCCATACCTCGGTGTCCCCCCAGAAGTCCGCCCGTGTTACTGCAGGGTTCTGTTCTGTCACCCGCCCTGTGAACTGCCCCGCAGAGTCTCCCTGTCTCAGTGCAGCGGGACCGGGTCCGAGTCCCCGTGGTGGGGCACGGTACAAAAATACCCCGTCCTTCTCCATCACTGAGCAGCCGGCTGGGTTTCTGAACAGCTGGCCCCTCTCGCTGAAGGCCCGCTGGGTTATGTTACAGCACGCAACAGCCATGTAACAGACACGTTCTCTGTCTCTTTTCTTCCCCACGAAGGGAGATCCTGGACTCCCAGGCAGGATGGGCCCCCCAGGTTTGCCAGGGAAGAGGGGGCAGCGGGTAGGACATTGCGTGTTTGGGCTTGGTGTCCTGGCAGTGCTGTGCTGTGTTCCCTGCGAGCGGGAGCCCGCTTGGCGTTGCACTGTCGTGCTTGCGGGGGATTATGTGTCCTTTTCTGGCTCTTTCCCCCCAGCCCCCCTTGGTGAAGTGTGTTTGCGTGTTCCTGCTTGCAGGAGGTGAGGGGCTGGAGGCAGGCAGGGCAGCATGCGATGCCTGGGATGCAGTCTTGTTCTGGGAACGACTAAGGACGGTGCTGCATCTTTTGACTCCAGAAATAACAGCCTGAACCGGGATGCGGTAACCTGACCTTCTTCCTCAAGAACTCTGCTTCTTTACGCCCGTTCAGGCAGCACAGGATGTTTTCAGTAGCCCTCATGGGCATGTGCATGAACTCTAGTCCTTGAATGAAAAGGACGATACCAGAAACAGTGTGAGGTAGAAACAGGGACTCACAGAGGCTTGGGACAGGGTTAGAGATGATATCCTTACAAAAACCCCAAAGGCCAAACCTTTTCTTTGGCCATGAGGTCCTGCCAAGGTTTTCCTCTTTCCAGGAAGAGGAGCATTGATTTATGGCAGCAGTGTGCATGTCTGGCAAGGGAGGAAAGCTGGGGATGAGGGGCCTTACAGGTGGCTGGAGGCCAAATTACCTTAGAGAAAGGGGTCACTGCGCTATAAAATTGCCAAAAAAAGTAAGATGGCTGCTAGTTAATTATTTTCCACGGAGCCCCCAGCGCATGTTTGTTCCTGGAGCATTTTCGCAAGACCCCTGCATGTCAGATGTGTGCCCCTGAGCTCTGTCGAGACTGGTGCCAGCCTCGGCGGCGAGAGGAACTCTTCACTGGTTTTGCAGATGCGGTGTGCTGCTGCCGTGCAGAGCTGGGCACCTGCCGGGGAAAGGTTCCTTGTAATCTGCACAGCTTGTTATGTCTGGGAGGTGTGAGAATTGTGGGCAAGAGCATACCTTTTCCTGATGATGCATTTGAAATGTCTCCTCATGGTAACCAAAACCTCTGGTATCCCTCCCTGTCCTGGCAAAATGCAGGCTCCCAGGCAGGACAGTGTAGCTGGAAACCCTGGGTTTAGCAGCTGGATGGAATGGGCTGAATAGAACTTAAAGTCAAGGCCACTAATTGAGCCCCGATATTCAAAAGGTGACCCAGATGTCATGGGAACTAAGCAAAGTCACTTCACCGAGGGGATGCTGGGTGCCCTCCCTTGCCCACTGCCCTGTGGCACCCTCCAAACCCCTCAGCCTGCCGGCCTTGCTCCCCCAGCACCCTGTCAGGGGTCGTACACCATCATCTTCTCTCTCTGCCACGTTTGCCGCTCCCGTTCCCACTGCTTTTCCCGAGCGCTAAGTGTCGCAGAGCTTGGCTGCTAGCTGAGACACTGTGCTGCTTTCTTCTTGAGCATGACAAGACTGGGATTTGAAGTTTGGGAACAGGAGCAGGAAACACCCCTTGGGAGAGGTGTGGGAGCTTGGTTGTGAGATCTTTGCCAGAGAAAAGCAGGGCAATTCACAGTGTGATGAGGAGGTGTGACAACAGGAGGGACTTAAGCAGCAGATGGTTTCTGTGAAAAGAGCTGAACTCCATCCGGGCACCGAGGAAGTCCTGCATTCCAGATAAAATTTGCCTCAGGCAACAACTCCTCTGGATGGGGAGAGCCTGTGCCTGAAGGACTGACAGGGAACAGGGTTTAGCAGACTGGAGTGATAAGGAAGATGGACAGGGGGGATCCTGGGTCCCTTTCCCACTCACATTCCTTATGAGGGAAATGGCAGTGATGTGCAGAGATAGTCAAACGGACAGGAGAAAACTCCACCGGCCTCAGCAGCTACTGCTGGAGGGTGCCTTGACTGTACCTGAAGTAAAATCCCCTGGGCAAGGGAAAGAAGGTTTGAACCCAGGAGCAGCTCATCCCTTGCCTGCTTCTCCAGGACAGAGAGCCTGCAGAGACAGCCCGACCATGTCTGTTTTACCAACAGGGTGAGAAGGGGCGAGCTGGTGACCCTGGGCTTCCTGGACTCCCCGGCACGAAGGTTTGTGAGGAATTGCGTGCCTTCACGCAGCGAGGGGGAGGCTGTGGTCCTGGGAACATGACCCTGGAATCGTGGTCCAGTAGATCCCCTTCACCAGCACAACCTCAGATGTAAGGTGGCATGGCAGCCTCTCTCCTGCTCCAAGATCCACCCATGGGGGGGAGGAGATGGGGTTTTTGGGAGCTGCACTGCTGTGCTCCGGGTTGGAAGAGCAGCCCTGTGCTCGGCGAGACCCAGGGCATGGCAGCTAAAGGCGAGCCCTGAAGCTGTGGCTTTTTCTCTGTGCTCTGACACGTGGGCAGGAATCAAACCTTCCAGGTCAGACTTCCACAGGGTGCTTTTCCTTTGGGAAAGGGGATGGTGCACTCAATGACAGTGACCATTTCAGGAAAGGATGAGGGTGTAATGGCAATTTGGTGCAAGCAAAGCTTGGCAAGTGAAGTTTTGGAGACGGAGGGACTCAAATGGCGCGTGGCTTGTTCTTCCTCACAAACAGGGAGAGAAGGGAACTGCAGAGAATTCCCTGGTGGGAGGCAAAGGAGAACCTGGCCCTCCAGGTCTGCCCGGGCCCCCTGGACCAAAGGTGAGGGGTTTTCCTCTGGTGAGGTCTGTGTTGTGAGGGATGGTGCCCAGCACAAGGTGTGTGGGAAGGGGCGAAGGTTGCATTCATCTGTCCCCACCTCTGATCACCCGCTGAAGAGATATCAGACTCTGCAGGGTGTTTCAGGTTGGTTCTTCTCAATGCTGAAGGCGAGAGAATTTGTGAACTGTGTTTCTGGGAGAAAAATCATAGAATCCCAGACTGGTTTGGGTGGGGAGGGACCTTAAAGCTCACCCAGTTCCAACCCCCCTGCCATGGGCAGGGACACCTTCCACTAGACCAGGTTGCTCCGAGGCTCATGCAGCCTGGCC